GAACCCAACAGCGAATGGTCGAGTGGGGAATCCTACCTATGTATTAAAATTACTAATTACTAATTCGTTTAATTAAATAAAAATCCTGTCACCAACGGGATTCGAACCTAAGACCTTTCGATTTCAAATTCATGACTCTAACCACTAAGCAAACGCACCCTATAACAGGTAATTTTTAATTAGAATTTAAAACATCCGATTGACATACTTCTTTCTACTCAACAAGCTATGTTTATTAATAACGAATGTTTTCGTTTAGTCCCGCGTTACACCTCGACTCAAAATTAATAAGAAAACGTGTCCGAAATCGGAGTGAAGTGTCCCCTTTTCAAATATTAACCAATTAAAATTCCCAACTCGAATTCGCCGAAGCCTAATCCGCACAAAGAGTAATTATTTTTTTTTTTCGCTTTTCTTCCTCATCGACCCTTTTTTCCATCCCGCCGAAATGTAATTATCCCCCTTTCTCTGTTCGCCCGTCTTTTCGTCAAATGGGGAGAAAATTTCGTCATTTTCTCGACCACCTGTCTGACCAGGGGCGCGCGTACTTACTCTACAAGAGGGGTAACCATAGAAGGTTCATTTTAAGAGCTTTCAAATAACAATTAAGCCATTGTTTGATTAGTTTTCCATTAAATAAAGTACTTTATGCTGATGGTACATCCATAGCGGTATCTGCACAGTCACTTGAGAGTCTGTTGGTATGTACCTATTCAGGATATTGTGCATAACCGCACCTATACTACATCATATATTGTAAAACAGTAAACTTATAATCCTTACAAGCTTATAACCCTCTCCAAATTAGAAGGCGATATCTGCTTAACTTTTAGTTAAGACCAAACTACCCAAAAGAAAATTATTAAACTATGAAATTTTATAATTAAGTATAATTCATAGAACTAAATAAAAATATAAAAAAATAAAAATACAATGAACATATAAAGACTTTAGACACAGAGGTAGGTTATTTACTTAAACTCCCAGGTTGGAAGAGGTTACTTAATCTCTGCCCCCACACGGGTCTTCCGAGATTGCTTAACTCATACGTTAAGTCTTGTTATAAAAAAAAATAATTAAAATGTAAAAATGAAGGATAAGGTTAAATTTGACTGCAGCTCTTAATAACTGAAGGTTTACAACTTAAGCGTAGAAGCAGTCCAGATGTTCTGCAACTAGAAGAATCACTACTCCAGCATTAAGTGGTTATTAAAAATAAATGAAAAATACACAAAGGACTTCAGACACCGTTGATATACTTTAAAGCTCCCATAAATAGGAAGAGGTTGTTAAATCTCTGCCCCACACGGGTCTTCTGAGATCGCTGAACTTGATCGTTAAGTCTGGTCCATTTAATAATGAATAAATTGAAAAAGTAAAATTATGACAGTAGCCCTTAATAACTGAAGAATTACAACTTAAACGTGGAAGCAGTCCAAGTGTTCTGCGACCCGAAGGATTACTACATCAGCATTAAGTGCTTAAATTAAGAAAAAGTTTGAAATATTAATCAATTAAACGATGTAATATTTGATAATACATAAGTTATGAGTGAAAGAACCCTAGAACATTCTGTGCTCAAAAGTATAAATAATGTTGAGAATACCTTGACAACATTCGGTTGAAAGTGAATGTATAGTTTAACAATGCACACATGAAACCTTCAATATAACGTATAAAAAAAACCTGATAGTAGGGTGTCTTCTTTCACAGCATTCCCATCTTCCTATCCAGAACGAGAATCATCCTTGTAAATCTAGCTACAAGTAAGCTAGGCGACTAGCATACCAATGTTCTGTGTTCCTTCGATGAGTCCACGATGAAACCGTTGAACTCCGGACGATATAACCCTTTGTGTACAACTGTTGAAATCCTGAGTCGCTACCCCCTGGGCAAGAATTGTTGTCGTATCCTGGATTAACAACCCCCTGGGTGAAACTGTCGTCGAATCCTGGGTTAATAACCCCCTGGGTGAAACCCTTACAATATTACAAAGAAAAATGTCAATACACATTGACTCAAGTATCCCGAACTATAGGATTACCCAAAAATGTACATAAACTAGAAACTATTCAGCATCTAGGATGAAGAAAAATTACATTGGCTCAACAGTGAGTCATAAACAGTATTATGAGCTCAAATAATTAAAATTCTGTTACACCATGTCATAACATAAAAGAAATTGACAGCCACATGGTGCGTAACATAACCAAATATATACAAAACATACCTTTTTCGTAAAGGGTTAACTTGGTAGCCTTCCAAGGATGAGAAACACGTGAGATGATCCACAGCACAACAATATTCCACACTCCAAATGCTGTGAACTTCCAATTATTGCGTTAAAATCCTATACTATATATGGGCTGGACCAATGACCATAGGAATTTACCAATACACTAAAATTCCTCTCAAAATACGAAATGTCCATTTACCCACAATTAACCATGAAGTAGAATCTAAAATCCCCTTTAATTAGGTAAGCCGATGGGGCTAAATATTAACAAAATTCTACTTCGACGCAAAATTCGTCTTTCTCGTGATTCAACACCCACTGACTAAAAAAAATACGTCAGCCGTCCAAAATGGCCGAAATCCCTTTCCGATAAATGTCAAGCCAAGTGGGTTCAGATATTCATCCTCAAGAATTCCCCACTATATAACTTAAGAGACCATTTACGAAAGGTACCCTAAAAACTATATTTATATACAGTATAACTACATTTGGGAAACTGTTCCCGACAAAAATTAATACAACAGTGATCGCCAAAAAATCCCTCACGACTGAAAATCGCTCATTGTGAAACTACCTTACCTTGGGTTCTGAGCCCGATATTGGAACGTCCTACAAACATGACACTTGTCGGTGTTCTGTCGTCAAATGACGTTTATGTCATTCACTGTCACAATTAAAAAATATTAACCTAATACTGACAGCTATAACAAAAATAAGCAATGAAATTCTTAAAGAATGGTATCGTAAATAATTAATTACCCAAAGGTGAGACTATAATACATAATATATATATATAAATTTACAACGAAACTTGGTCTATTTTTAGGAGAACTACCACCCTTTTACTAAGTGGTGAGATGAAATAAATTGTAATAATGATGTCCGAAAGTTAGAATACAGGTGAAATTAGTTAATGACAAAAATAATAGTGATATCATCAATACGATTTTACCCTTTTTTTTTCGTATGATTAACCAGGTAAGCCAAAACAATTTTATTAATTCGTGGGGCCAAAAATGAACGTTACATATTGTTCAAGTAATGATTAATATTGAAAAAACACAATTCATACATTTTCATCATCTAAACATGCCGATAACTAATATTCTTCGTCTTCCTATATTGATAAGATTCTTATTATACCAACGGCAATTACAAAGTTTTTGTAATTATACATTGATCTTAATCTAAGTTGGAAGGATCATATTAAAACAATAAATAAAAAAATAAACCAGTCTTTTTAAACAATATCTAGATTAAGAAACAGTATGGCACATACTTATATATTCACCAGTGTCTTCTTTAGGTAAAACAATATACCTAACCAGAAATTCTAATTTCTAATGATACTAGAAATACATAAAACCTCTAAACATCAGCACAGTTTCAAATACATGGAATATGAAAGATTTTCAAAATCGATTTAGAAAAACTTCTCATTGGAACTGGAACTTAAGGTAGACTTAAAAAAAAAATTACGTGACTTTATAAAAATGCTCAGTAAGTAAAAATAAACTTGACATTTTTTAACGCTTCAACATCGATTACCTAACCTAAAAGTCCATAATTATGATTCTGTTCCGTATATGGATCTAAGAACTGCACTAATGAACTACAAATTCCAAACAAGGCACAAGAAAATAAAAACAAAGAGATCGCTACGTATGAACAAACCAGTAGTAGTAAGTAATACGTTTATGTATAGCGTGAAAGTAACAAAGAAATACATCACAAAGTTGTACCACAATCATCGTCATTTGTGTAGAGCATTCAACACGTTAACCGGTTTTTATGTACTATTGAATGTCTAAAAATGGACGTTCTGTATAAGGAAACTTGCTGCATGTGAGTTAAGGAGAGAAATCCAATCCAATAAATCTAGTGATAAATCAGGGCCGTAAGAGCTTTGGTGCACAGGATGTTTTATACACTATTTGTTTGACGACATTTTACTTTCAACAAGTAATAATATTATCTTTTTACTTTTATATGAATAAATTAATAAGGACAAAGATAAAAAAAATCCGTGTATACTTACTGTCGTCCTATCAGAATATTCTAATTAGAAGAAAATCAAGACACTACTAACGAGACGATCCATAATGTAAGACTTGAAGTTAGGCTAGTTACTCCAATGAAGTTGCAAAAGAAATTCAGACAAACATCAGCCCACAAAAGGTCGGATATAACCTTATTAAAGAAACTGCCAAGGAAGGGTGACGTTAAATGAAACATAGCAATATCCCTCAACAACAATGTGCATTTGCGGATGATACTACAATATTGGCAGTTGGTCGAAATTATCATTTATGTATTATATCACAGAGACCTCAAAAAAACTGCAATATAATCAATTTATGGACCAGGATCGTAGACACGGGATGTTTGGGGTTTAAAATCCCCCCCGTTACGCTTTTGTTATTGCTCAAAAGGATATCTGTGTAAGTAATGAGCAACAAGAAAGGTCTGTACGTATTAATACAGAAACTTTAAACATTCAAGCCGTTAAGAAAAAAGGCAACAAACGGATTGAAAGCAAATGAAAACGAAATGTTGTGAAAAATAAGAAGGCGAGGTGAATTATATATTAATTGGGCAAATAACCTAATTCCAAAGAAAACTACAGGACCAAATTGTAACTGTAGAAAAAGATGTTTTACAAAAATAGATGATATCCAAAAAAATAATATACTTGAGCAGTTTTATAATACGGGAGATAAAACTAAACAATACATTTATCTAGGAGGATTAATCAGTAAGGCAAATGTGTAGAGAAAACGTACAAGTACAGGACAGGGAAGAGAAAAAAAAAACAGCAGCTATCAATATAAGGTAAAACTTTCATGGCAAAATATAATAGTTAGCCCTAAAATATTTTTCTTTTGTAGGTGCGTGTAGTAAGCCAGGAAACCATAGTGTGCAAAAAGGCATTCTGCTCTTTGCACGGAATATCAAAACAGAGTATCTCAGATTGCCAAAAATCTGACCCAGATTAGTATTATGTCACCTTCCCATAAGCGTGTGCAGCATTCCAATAGGCCAAACAAAATCAGTGAAGAAATTATAGCGCAAATATAGGAACATATACGAAGTTATCCTAGGGGAATATCCCATTATAGTAGGGAAGATAATCAAAGAAGATATTTTTTATCTCCCAAATTGAACATTGCAAAAATGTACTGGCGACCTTGAAAAATATGAGTCGGAAAAGTACGCTCCCATAGACGATGGGAAAAATTTAAAAGACATCAAATCAATAGTGACATGATTTTTATCGGCGGGTCCTTTTTGCCCACAAATCTCTGTTTTCTACCTGTGTAAGTAAAGGGGTGCGTTAATCTTACTGGTATTTTGCCCACAGTAGCATTCAGGTACCTAAACCCGCAAATTACATCCGCCCACAAATAGGTACCTACCTGATTATTAATAATTCTAATAGGTACTTACTTTGGGTGTTTACTGTTTATATTTCAGTCAGTTTTTATACGTTGATGATTGTAATTCGAGTGTTTATAAACAATAATTATTTCTATAATGTCAGCTACATTGATTAAAAGCACACGCGGGAAAGATGTACTCCTTTTGGAGAATTTTACGTTTGCCAAAGATAGAGAAATGAAAAGTGGAGAAGTTTCTTGGAGATGCTCCCAAAGAAAAACAAATGCTTGTAATGCCACTGTATTTACAATTGGTCCTGAACTTTTAGTATCCAGAGGCAACCTAATTCATAGCCCTGAAGCAAATGAACCGAAATTAAACAGGAAAATTATTTCTAATTCGTGTAAGCGAAAAGCAGTTGATGATATTTCGGAAAAACCTTCTAAAATTATCCGTAAAGTACTTGCTACTAATTTACCAGAGTCACTAACTACAATTGATGTGTCCTACATAAGAAAAACTATATACAACAGTCGTCGCAAAATACTACCAGGTCCATTACCTACAAATATACAAGAAGTGCATGATGCAGTTGACTTATATTCTAATACATTTAAAACCAGTAAAGGTGAACATTTTCTTTTAATAAATAGCAGAGAAAATAATATTATTGTATTTACATGTGAGACAAATATTCGTACTTTGTGTAAAATGAACGTCTTGTATATGGATGGAACATTTTCGTATTGTACAAAGTTTTTCCTACAATTATTTACCATTCATGAGCTGTGTAATGGACACTATGTGCCCCTGGTATATTGTTTATTACCAAACAAATCTACCGATATATACAAACATTTGTTTTCGTTATTGCATTATAAAATTTTGGAAACTTACAGTATTGCTTTAAATCCATCTAAAGTGTTCGTTGATTTTGAAATGGCAATTCATAAGGCGTTAATTTATATGTGGCCTAATACTGTAATCAATGGCTGCCGATTTCATCTACATCAAGCGTGGTATCGTAAAATTCAGTCTCTGGGATTAATGACTGAATATACAACTAACGGTGATACCGGAAAATGGCTTAAAACATCATTTGGGTTGACATATTTAAACGCCGATGAAGTTTGGAGACTGTTTTGTGTTTGACTTAATGGCAAGTAAACCAGAAAATGCCGTTCTCGATAGGTATGCCGATTACCTATTAGAAACATATATTGAAGAAAATTCTACATTTCCTCCAAGTATATGGGCAGAAAAAACAGCTTCAATTACAAGAACTACAAATGCCTGTGAGTCGTTTCATTCAAGGTTTAATTCTTCATTCTACTGTACACATCCTTCTGTATATATTTTTATAGAAAAGCTTAAATACTTTCAAATCGACACGTATGTCACAATACAAAGCTTAAGTATACCTAAGAAAATCAAAGACAAAAGTGTAAAACAAAAAATTCAGTGTTTAGAAAAATTTATACAGCGATTTGATTTGCAGCAAATCTGCAGATTAGAGTATATAAAATTTGTATCACATTTATCCCTCCCAGTTGAAAAATATGTAAATAAAATATAAATATATAAAAAATATAATATAACTTATGTATACTTACTTTTTTATAATAATAAAAATTAGTGTTTAATATAATTTTTAGTTTAATTAATAATGTGTTTTTACTTTTCGATAATATATAAAAAATAATAAATGAAAGATATATCTATTATGATTTATTCAGTTAGAAATAAATTTGGGCAAAATACCAACAGGATTAAGATGACCTTTTACTTGCTGTGGGCAAATTACCTATAGGATTAGCAGCTTTAAATATTTTGTGGGCAAATTACCTCCGCCCATTTTTATAATCGGTAATTTCATATCAATCATAATCTTAGTTTTGGACATCCAAGGTCAGACACCTGCCAGAAATGTGATCACCTAAACAACTCAATTGCCGCAGAAGAAAATGCAGAAACTAAAGTTCGCTTGGAAACTGAAAAGCGTATACACTTACAAAAAGCCGAAGTATTTTATGCGAAATTACGGGAATATACAAATCTTGCCCGCGAAGATGAATCAGTTGATGTATTACGTTTTGATTACCAACAAAACTTGCCACTGCCGCATATTCCTTCAGGTGATGCGTTTTATAAAAGGCAGTTATGGGGATATAACGTTTGTATACATTCTGCCAAGAAGAAAGAGGCAACTTTTTATATTTATGATTATTATGTTTATGCTAAAAAGGGTTGCAACGAGGTGGTAAGCTTTTTTAAATTATTATTTGACAAATTTTGTCTCGGAAACTGTAACAACTCTGTATTTATTTTTGGACAACTGTTTTGCCCAAAACAAAAATCAGACAATAGTGCAGTACTTTCACACATTCATTAATGTTTTCAATAGTAATATTCAGCAAATTATTCATCAGTTTCCAAAACCCGGTCACAGTTTTCTGCTGTGTGACCGTTGCTTTGGTCTAATAAAGGAAGAAAAACGAAAAAATAAATAATATACTTAACTTCTGAATGGAGAAATTTAGTCAAGAAAACAGTTTCGTGTAATAGACGTTACCCTGGATATAATCATCGATTTTTCGAATACTATTTTGAAAAAAGTCATAAGTAACTATATTCATCATTTGCCATTAAGAAACCTAACACAGTTTAGTCTGACCAAATACTAAACTGTACAACACATTTCCATTTAAAATAAACCCAAGAAATAGCAAATGTGATGTCTTTGGCAGATCATTATGTACCACCAATACATATGTGGTACTGGTACTACGAGCAAATACGAGTTGATAATAATAATGAACAACAACAAGAAAAACACCTTGATGGTGACAGTGACGAAGCTGAGACTAAAGATTATTTCTAGTTTTATATTGATCAGATTTCTTTGCTGAAAAATTGTTCTTTTTTACATTTTCACCAGAGTATTTGTTATTTTTTCTGTAATTTCTATTGTTTTTCCTGTTTTTTAGAGTTGCTTTGATTTAAAAAATAAAGTTATATTTTCATTTTACAACAAATAAATGTTGAATGAAATAATGTTGCATTATTTGTACTCGTATAATTTTTGGAGGGACCAAGACTTTCAAAATTTTTTTCTAAAATGTGTCAACAGAATATTTTGCAATATGTTTGGTATTAAATCATTTTCCAACACTTATACTAATTGATAATTTTTTTTTGACAGAAAATTCTGACAAATGACAATGTAGGAAATTTTTTATTGATTTCCCGTAAATGATAAAAAATGGAGGTGTAGGTTGTCTTTAATGAATTTGAAGTTATAGAAATATATCCTATCTATAAATGCTAGAGGTACTGATAAACAGTGTCAAACTGATGTGCGGTGAGGATTTAACTCGAATGATGGTGTCGCACGCATTTACAAAAAAATAGAAGCTAAACTTACATATAGTTGTGTCTATGTTAGGTACGTAGTACGTACCTATATCATGAAGATTTAAATAAATATTTCCCGATATCAGTACCTGGGATGTAAACTGAACTATGCGTACTATTTATAAAGGCGCACTATATCATAGAAAAATTGTTATTAGAACATAGAAATATGTTGCCAAAACTAACAAGTCATGTATATTAAAAAAAAGTTTTAATAGTTAGATTATTAGTAAACAATAATATTGTGACAATAATTGGGGCTAACTGCATTTCTTGTCAAAATATAATTGATATATGTAAATATGGAACACAAAAGTGTTCAAATAACAGTCAGTCTGCTCTAATAAAAAGTTGCGAACTTAGAAACGGTAAAATTATTAGAATAAAGTGAACACCCTTTTTAAATTACAACGAGCCGCTACTGAGTGCTCCAGTTACTCGAGTTTATTGTTCCTATTGGTTTGACAAAAAAAAACAAGTCATCTGTCTTAGTTTTCATTAAATAACCAGAACGCATGAAGTATCTAAACCATTGAGCAGATTTGTGTATCCGACGTTGCCACACTTTCGTTTCGTTTAAGTTGCTCGAACTTGCTCCGACTGAACACATTCGAGAATTTCAATTATTGCTCAATCCCCGAACGATGACATCGTTAAAAAAATCCTCGTTTGTAATCGTACTTGTTCCATCAACGAGTATTTCGAGAATTCGACTCCCTGTTTGAACCAAAACAAACCCATCCAAACAAAAGAACTTACTTTAACGCTACGACCACAGCGTCCTGCACGCCAGCGTTCTATTCCAGATGCGTTTGGAAACGCAATAAAAGTCTCAACAAAGCACACACATTACACTCACGGGCGATAGGATATAATACCTGGATGGGTGGTCCCATGGGACGGTGCGAGACACCGGTCGCCGCGCGGAAATTGCAGGTGAAAATGTCGCCTGTTCCGGCACGGCGGAAAATGGAAAATCGCGAGCGAGAGAGTGTGTGGAAACAAAGGAATCGCGGGCGCGTCACTCTTCTGCGGAATATGCAGTAAAAGCGGCGGGCAGCGGTAGCAGGATTCTCGGCATCGGCTGTAAACGTAGCCGACAGGGCCAGAGGCAGCAGGGCAGGGCGCTGCTGGAGAGGCGCAGTCGCTTGTTTTGTGAACGGCTCTCGGGGCTCTCTCGGATCGCTTTGCTTTTGCTTGTTACTACCTACTCTACCGGTCTCGTCTGGTCGTCTGCCACCAGGGCCGGCTTCGCGTTTTTTCTTTTACTACATTATTTATATAAACACTTTATTAAAATTAGACGTGAGTGACTCAATTATTGAATTTGCTGATGACACCGTTATCAGAGACAACCCAGCGGGACGTTTAACTGTATTTTTTTGTTTGGCAAAAGTTATTTGGGCGATTATAATCGCAACCAGTATATAATAGCGCACTAGTGCATTTTCTTCTCTTCTTAACGCTACTTGCTGATGTGTGCATCCAGTCATAATTAGTGGGAAAATATAAAAATATTTTAGGACGGAAAATTCAAACATGGATTCAGAAATAAATAGTTGTTCTATACAAATTTACAGGAGCAACAGAAACTATTGTTTCACTATGTTTTTAAAAATGTAAAAGCTTCCAATAACATCAAATTTTTTTATCATACAAATAATGAATTTCAATGAAGTTTAATATATGCAGTAAACATAGTTTTTATTACTCTTGTAAATTTTGCTAAAAAACACCAACCTCTTTCTCTATAAATTGTATTTTTCTAAGATACCGAAAAACAAACTACAAGTTCTACGTTTAGAAAATAGGTACATCGTCTTACTCTTTTTACTAGATGCCGCTCTTTTAATAAATCTAATTCCTCTCTATGGGATCTGCTCTGTCGGCTTTTAACGTAGAGCGGTTAGGTCAGTTTACTCCATATTAAAGTTCAGAGCTTTAGGAGTAAATATCAATTTGTGACAAATTACAAAAAAGTTATTATTTAATTGAAAAGTATTACAAAACCAAGAATATATAAAAAATGTAACAAATATTTTATAAAGTATAGAGTATAGTTTATGATTGTTTAATTAAATAGAAACCAAGTAAATGAAACAAACACAAATACTCACACAGATGTATAAGGCCCGAGTATAGTAAGTTCTCAACCTGCAAATTGGATCGAAACCAGCTAGACTCATTTCGTCTAGTCCCCTGCTAACTCTTCTACAGGGTCCTTAGACTCGGTTATCTTGCTTAATCGGCAACAACAACAACAACAACAACAACAACAACAACAACAACAACAACAACAACAACAACAACAACAACAACAACAACAACAAAAACAAAAACAACAACAACAACAACAACAACAATAACAACAACAACAACAACAACAACAACAACAACAACAACAATTAGGTGCAATTGAGGAAATAAATTGCTTAGGTTTAGGATTTGAACTATTGCTGGTTCTGTAAAATAATTTAATCAATAAAATTTTTAGTAGTACTGGTTGGAATTAATTTAATTACAATTTTCAGAAACATGAATTCAAAGAAAAGGAAAAATATAATGATTTTTAAGTTTATTTTTATATATTTTTTTGTTATTTTTGTTTTATAAGAGTTTTTTGATTTTGTTTAAACTCTCTTATTTTTTTATATAAATAAAAATTTCCTCGGTTTAATCGGATATTGTTTTTATTTTCAATCGTTTAGCACAGCACTACATATGTTTCGGAAATTAATTTTTTTCCATCTCCGGGTGCACCCAAAATTTAAAAAATTAAAAAAAAACACACAAGGGGACGATTACAAATAGTTTAAAAAATTTTAAAATAACAGATCCCAACTTTCTCTTATTTTTTTTGTTATTTTTTAAATAAACGAATGATTCTTTAATAACATTATCTACCCCTTCCGAAAAATCTTCCCAGATCCGCGCCTGTGTTTGTGTTTCTTGTGTGTACATTCTGTTGTATCCCAGTGCTGTAAAAGTTCTCCTAGTCTCCTAATTTGGCGACTAGCTGAATCTTCTCCACCTAGTCGTCTCTTATTCGAAATCAATTTAAGATAGCCGTTTTTAATTTCATCCAAGCATTGTTTGCTCTATGGTCGCGTGATTTAAAAATCTATTAGATCCGCTCTGCAGCAAGATGTATTTTTTAAACGTAGCAAATAATAATGAAGACTATGAATATCACATTTTACCCATGAAAAATCTAATTTTTAATTTACCTCTTTTTCAATTTCATTTGAAACATTTGGTATGTTACAATTAGTATCAAGAAAATTTTCTAATAAAATTATAACAGTTCCTACTGAAACTACTGGTTGTTCTACAGGATAAATGAACTTTTTTTGAAATCGATTCCCTCTAAAACCCAAATTCTACCTGATGTCCACAAATAATTTTTACAATGTCCCAAAGATTTAAAATCCTGAGTTTTAGCAATACATATTTTTTTTTTTTTTTTTTTCGTTTAAATAACTCTACAATCATAAAAAATTGCCAATCTCTAACCATTTCAAAAGCCTTTTGCCAATACTGCATGTGAGGAGATTTTTTGCTCAGTTTTCATTTTACTTCTTTTCTAGTAGATGGGAACTTTGTGCTGCCATTAAAGCTGTCAACAAATAATCTAATTGATGAACAAAAGTAGCTGTAACAATGGATCTCTATTCCAATGCACCTATAATAATAATAGGCATTTTGTAATATAATATTAAACACACACATTATACAAGAGCTGTTGATTTTCTTAATAAATTGGAAATTACTTATTTCTAGAAATTAATTATACCAAAACAATGATACACTTGTACTTAAAATCTGATCAGCTAGGTTAACCTCCAT